CAAGTTGGCACCATCATTGTGCTCTTCCCGGGTGAGGCAGATCAGTCGCCGGCTTCTGGTCGGCCACTCACAGCGGCTGCTGGCTACACACGGTAGCCCATGGCAACCCACTGCAGCAGGGGACTGCAGCCTATGCTGTCGCCGGCAACTCAATGGCAGTCCAGCTCCAGGTTGAGCTGTTGTTCAGCATCATAGCTGTAGAGGGCAGTGTCACTGGCCCTCATATGTGGGATCCGAACCAGGGCCCTCTGGTGTCCTAAGCCAGCTCTTAACCAACGTGCCACTCGGCCGGCCCAATCCTCAATAGTTTTTAAGAGTAGGGTTCTGAGGTCAGAAAGTTTGAGAAGCACTTTTGTAGCAGCTCGCACAGCTAGGTCTTTGTTCCTGGCCCCGCTCAGAAATTCAGGTTGAGAATGGAGGCCACAGATTGCAGCCTTGATCCAGGATCAGTTTTGCTGGGTAGATGAGATGGACTTGAAGTGGCGCTATGGAGAGCCAGTCAGGTGACCCACCCTGGGATCTGGACTAGGAGAGGAAGGACAAAAGGCTGAACCACAAGGGTGGGGCCATGTTGCTAAGTACCCACTCTCAAGCTAAAGAGAAGGTGTGGGTTCTGGGAGAGCTTCAGGGAGAGTCCAAAATCATGGTCAGCCTCAGAGGGACTTCAGGCTTTTTAGGGGAAATCAAACCTGTATCCAAGGAAGCATGTGCACAGGTGGTGTGAGTGGTGCCAGTGGATTGTAGTCTGGTGTGGGAGGAGAGAGGCCAGGCACTCTTGACTGTGGGATCAGCACCTGCCAGCTGCTTCCCATTTCTCTCCTTTTCCCCTTCTGTAGTTGTGAATAATGTAGAAATAGCACTTGCAGTAAAGGGGGACTAAAGATCCAGTTATTTTTCAAGTAGCAAAAAAAAACAAACTATCTTCCTTTGAAATTATTCCCGGAAGATTAAGGGCCTAGGATTTTTTAACCTGACGCAACTAACAGATCTCTTTTAGAAATGCTTAAGCTTCAGAGCATCTAGGTGCCTTGAAGTACTTCACTATTTAATACTAACAAGATTTGGAGGGGGAAGGTACCCCCCAAATTATTTAGAAATAATGCTCTTAGAATCAGACTGTGGCCAGGCCCTCCTGGACCTTTCCCGACACAGACGGTATCTAATTGGGCAAAAGGAGAAATGACTTCTAATCTCAAGAAAGTTCTTGGGAAAATGTCTAAGAGCTCTTTTGGAGGATGGGTGGTTGGGAGCAGGAAATGAGATATGTTACCTGTATTACGGGTAAAACTCTAAAACTCACTCAGCAAAGGGCATGTCATGTGTTTACACATCTGCCAGGTATTCCATGGGACTCAGATTTGGGCCGGAAGTGCCTGAGTTCTTGACCATCATGCTACATTGTCCTGACCCTTGAGAGAGCTTCCTCTGAAAGCTAGCCCGTTTGTGGACCTGAGACCACATGTCACGGCCACAGGAATGAACACTCCTGCTGCCCAGACAGTGCTTCAGTCAAATCCCAACAAGTCTAGATTCCAAGCCTCTGCTCTGAAAATCTCTCTGGCCTATAAAGCAAAATGTCATTGTTCCCTAATTTCCTAAGGTACACTTATGTGTATTAAAAAGGTTATTTGATATAGGCAAAAATAAATTTGAAAATGTCCTGTTTGTAGAAATCTTTTATGTGTGCTTTAAAAAAAAACTTTTTTACAGTTCACTTCATGGACATGAGAAAAGTTCTTTGTTATGTGGAATTTCTCTTTATAGCCAACATGTGGTTTGCCACATTTATTAAGGTGGGAGGCATGCAACAAGGGGAGTCACAGGGAGGAGTCAGAGCTGAGCTTGCAAACACATGTGCATGCACACATGCATAAACACACCTTTTAGTGACCTCAGGCAAGAAGGTGCCTCCCCAGCCTCCACCTCTCTCTCAAAGTGACTTCCTGGCACACAGGCAATCTCTTCAGAAAGTGCGCTAGCATTACTGGGCTCAAGGGTTGAAAACATTTTTTAAGTAATTAAATGACTAAAATGATTTTCCTTTACCATTCTACTCTTAGGGCTTAGTGGCATGTGCTGATTTGCAGATGGATGAGGTTGATATTCAAATCAATTATAACTGCTTCATTAAGCAGATACCAGTGGTTTTATTTTAGTGTCACTATGTTCTGTAAAAATGTGTGTTCTTTTTCAGACTTGCAATCGATTTTCAGACTGGTTCCTTGGGGCCCTTGGATTTCTCAGGGATGGCTCAGGGCTGTGAGCTAGGACTTAAGAGAGGCTGGCGTAGCTTCTTATCTACTTGTCTCGAGGCTCCTCTTAGGATTTAATTTGAAGAAAGGGCCTGCTGCTTAAATTAAAAATCACCGGTCTGAGCATCATTAAATGAAAGGAGACATTTTATTTATTTATTTATTTATTTTCTATTAGTTTCAGGTGTACAAAACAATGTAATAGACATTTATATCGCTCACAAAGTGATAACTCCCCTCCCCCAATCTACTACCCCTCTGACATCGCATATAGCTATTACAGTTCCACTGACTCTATTCCTTATGCTGTACTTGAAAGGAGACATTTTAAAAAGAAGCCCCTTTTGCTACCTCTTTACCTAATGTCTTTTCTAACATGTATTGTTTCTTGTTGAAACCTGCTCCTGATACTAGATACAGGAAGTATTCCGTCACATTTTCCTTAACCTTTGTCCCAGCCGCAGTTAGCCATGCCCTCAGAGTCAAGCATGGTAAGCTGTTCATTGGCTGCCCCCCCGTCTCATTCCTGTTGATCCCATACTCACTTGCTGCTGACTATTGGCCAAGTCGAGAAAATACTTTTCGTTTTGGACCTTGGAGAAAGATGCCAAGCTGCAGAGCACACCAGGGTGCCTGTGCTTCACACATGACTTTCAGCCAGGATTTGGAAGGAAGATGCTGAAACCACATAGGAGAACAAGTGATTGTTTTCTTCTGTGACCTTGGAGGCCTTCTGTTGAAAGATAAATTGACCATTGCAGAAATCACTTTGGAGTTGACTTAAGAGAAGTACATACACAAAACCTTTGCTTTTGACACCTGCAAAGCAGAGTAACGATTTGGGAAAAGTTCAGGTTTGGTTCAGACTTGAGTTTGAATTCTGGTCTTCCACTTTCAGCCTTTGGCTGATCCCATCACTTTTCTGAGTCTGGGTCTGTGATTGTCAGATGGTCACAGTCTCAAGAAGCTCAGAGATATTAGGCACTCAGTATGCTGGCTCTTCTCCCCAGGGCAATGCTTAGCTCAGTTGTTTTTGGGTCATTTTACTTAAACAGGAAATGGAAAGTATTTCAGTGACTATTGCTTTGGCTTCTCACCACTGCACAAAACCTTTCTCTTTGTAGCTCTGGATTTACTGGACAAAATGTTGACCTTCAACCCTCACAAGAGGATTGAAGTAGAACAGGCACTGGCCCACCCATATCTGGAGCAGTATTATGACCCAAGTGATGAGGTAAGAGCCGTGCTTCTGGCTGCTTCTGCAGGGATGTCTGTCAGCCAGCAGCGGGCCCAACCAAGATGGGCCCAGATACCATGCTGAGATTGTCCTCAGAAGGACATGGTGCCATACCTGGTCCTCCCAGCCCATGTCTGCCTCAAGGACTAGTGCTGTCAGCACAGCTTGAAACCCCTCCCCCATCCCCCAAGTCCATTCTCAGAAATTTTCCTCCAGGCCATCTGCAGCAGGGATGGGTAAAAGGAAGCACAGACAAGAAAGGGGTCCAAGGCTGGAGACCACTATCATGGTTTTTACAGGAAGAGACAACCTGAATCAAAGTGTCTGCCCTGAGAATGGAGAGGAGGTCCACTACCTGCCTGGGGAGGGGTGTTGTAGAGTGACGGGGAGAGTTCAGCCTGGACAGTTCCCATTGTGACTTTGTGACTTCACATCTGGTGTGCCTCCCTGGAGATGGGGACACAAGAGCCTATTGTGAGAAAGGATGAGTCCAAAGGTGGATGTGGCAGATCTCCAGAGCATTCTGGACATCGAAGTAAAGATCAGAAAAATGCAATATGAACCAAAGTTGGAACCTTTCTGGTCTAGGCTCATATGCATAGAAAACAAGCCTTTAGACTCCTGCTTTAAAAAGAGGGAGAGCCAAGTGGAGTGTATTAAAATTAACGGGGGAAATGGAAGAGAGGAAAAACTAAAAGCTAATAAAGAGAAAGAAGAAACCAAAAACAGCAAGTATTTATTAATCAGCTTCCCCTTCCACCTCTATCCCCTCCTCCAGAAACAATTGAGGCATCTTGCAAAGATACCTACAGCATAGTAAATAACAGGGAACTAGGTGAGAGTATAAAGTTTGAGGCTTTTACTAGCCCTGTGAGCTAGAGATTTCCAAGGTCCCTGTGTCCTATTCACAAGCTGGGGTGGTACCCCATACCCAATAGGGGGTTGGGAGGATTAGAAGAATGGCGTAGGTAGGATACATAGTGTGATCCCACAGAGAGCCACCCTTGAGCGAGCACTAGCTACTTGTTTTTCTCTCATGGACACAAATCCGTTTCTCCTTCTCAAGAGGTCAGAGCTTAGTGCAGATTTTGGGGTCCATGTTTCCTTCCCCTAAAGGCCTGGTGTGAGGAACATGTGGATAAGACCTGGAAGTGCCTTATAACTATCAGGCATCCAATGATTGACAGCTGGTATCATCATTAGGTTAGTTCTGTAACATTGCATTTGTTGGGAGTACTTAAAAATCAAAATATAAATAATACTAATTTCATTTTTTGTAGTTTAGTACGTATAGCGCTTCTTTGACATAGTTTAAATATGTACTTCAGTAGCTTTCCAATTATAGATTCTCTGTGTGCTAAAAAAATAAAAATGAAAAATTACAGGAAAAATACAAGAAAGAGCACTGTAGTCTTGTTACAGTTATTAAAATCTTGGGAGTTTTCCCTCCCAGTCTTACGTTTCTGTATCTAAAATTTAAAAGTAAAATAGGGTTCCTTCTGTTTAATACAAACATGGATATTTTCCCATGATATTAATCTTTCTTGCAGCTTTGTTTTTAACAGCTCCATATTTCTTCATATAAAGATACTGTAATGTATTTAATCAAATACATTTATTTGAGTACCATGGGTTTCAACTGTATAAACATACTTCCACCACCCATACAAAACAAGTTTCTGTGATTTCAACTTTGAGTTGGGAAAATTATTCTGGAATAAGTTCAGATGAACACTTGAAATGGATTCAGTTGTTCCTTGTTTATTAAGTACCCACAAGAAGTGCACTTTCAGGAGTGTGGGCACAAGTACATACATACTTACCGTAGCTCTTATTTTTTAGTAGACATCAGTCTTGTATACATTTCAGAATCTGAGCCATAGTCATTTTATGAATCAGCAAGCAATTACCTTGACCATAAAAGCTGTTGCCTACTAAATGTCTTATTTTCTCTTAAAGCCCATTGCTGAAGCACCATTCAAGTTTGACATGGAATTGGATGACTTGCCTAAGGAGAAGCTCAAGGAACTCATTTTTGAAGAGACTGCTAGATTCCAGCCAGGATACAGATCTTAAATTTGTCAGGTACCTGGAACTTGAACCATACAATAAAGAAACCCTATTGCGGGAGAGAAAAAATATAAATTAAAAGTTATTTTAACAGTTGGTTAAGAGCTCACTCAAGAGTGCAAGCTCTGAGCAATAGCAGTTCGATGCCTGGCCCAAGCTGAGCTACCAACAGGTGGCAGGATGGCTCAGCTAAAAAAAAAAAAAAAAAAGTTACTTAAAAGAAAGAGGGATTCCCATGGGCCTGCGTGGAAGCTTCATGAGCTTAGATTGTAAGGTGTGGTGGGCAACGCTGTGGTATTGGTAGATTTTTAAAAACAAGTGCTCAAAAAAAGAAATGCAAATCTTGATTTTAGATAATGTATGAAAGAGGAGAGAGAACACGGCTTGCTTTAGAATTCTGTAGCAGTGAACATTGAAGTAAAGAATTACAACCAAGGGTTGAAGCATTTGCTGGGGAAATGCTTTGGACAGACCAGCATGGATGGGCTGTAGGTGTTTTTCGGCAGGTTGTGTTGTCTTGTGCAGAGTGCAGACAAGTGGCCGAGGGAGTGCCACACTTGTATTGGAATAGGAGGCCACCCTGGTAGCATTATGGAAGAGCGTTTTCTTGAGTGGTACACATTCCAGGGTGTCTTCACTGGATCTCTATTCCATTCTCCCATGTCCTGTCCTTTTTATTTTCATATATCAGGGTCTGGAGGCAATGGCTCAGGCTGAGGTCCCTGGTTGACTTTGTTGGGCAACATCCAGGCTTGAAAGCAGAAGCTGCTCGAGGTGTTTCAAACTGTGGGCATGTGATCTGTCAGAACGCATTAGAAGGGCTGGAGGGCAAAAGGGTAGGCAGGGTGACCTGCAAATTGGTAACTGCAGGAAGCAGTTCCCAGTCTCTAGCAAAAGGTGCAAAAAGGAAAATGGTGTTAGCCAGGGTCCTTGATCACCATGCAAGGGAGGGCGCTTGGCACCCACTGTGGCTGCAGCCATTAGAGCATCACCATCACTGAGGAGGGGTCAGGAGCCTGTACTGCCACTGACGCCAGGGATCTTGAGGGCCTGAAATCACCATCACTATCCAGTGCCTCTAAAACCCAGGAGTCACCCCTCTTCCTGAAAAGCCATGTCACTAGAAGCGGAAAAAGGAAGGAAACATGGCTTTTCTATCAGTGCCTGCATTGGCAGAATCCCCCAGAAGCCAGCTGCCAAGGAAGGCCAGTGCAGTTGATAAGTTTCCAGCCCTGTCATTAAGAATGGAGGACAAGAGAAGGGCAGAAAGGAGCTGAGAACAGGCATGGCCAGCTCAGCCACAGAGCCAGGCAGAGGAAGAGGGCTGGAAACAGTGCTTTCAGAAGTCTGACACCAAAGCAGAAAGGGTTGAAGAAGAAGCCTGGGTGGGAGATGAGCTCAAAACAAATCTATGAGACAAAAGGGCTGTAGGCTTGGACTAGGGCTATGTGGCGAGAAGTAAGAGAAGGGAGGAAATGCAAAGTCTGGAAGACTCCAAAGTTTCTAAACCTAGCAACTGGGGATCAGGGGGAGTGGTGCTGGCACTATTAAGCCGTTGCTTAGCCTGATGTTGACACTGGAAACATCATAAAAAGACAAACTCAAAGCAAGTGACGTGTTGAGGAAGCCCATGCCTGGGAAGAGTCTGAATGAGAAAGAGGGTGAGGTTAGCACGGGGCTGAGGAAGACAGAATCTAGCTAGAGTTGGATTCATTTATCTTCAAACCTCACAGGCATGACAATCTATTGAGGTGATGTGCACGGTCACTCACTGAAAAAGTCAGTCCCCGGGACCTAACCATGTTCATACCTTAAACTGGAGTCCCCTTGGGGCTTCCTTCCTGGCCCCTCTGCTCAGTGTTCACAGTGGGAGGAATCGTCTTTTCTCGCAAGAGCCTGCTCTTCCCTCGCTGTGTCTGCACAAGATCAGATCACCTGCACCCAGGTCGGCTGCCACCAGGTTTTGTCAAGTTTTATTCTGGCCCTTTACAGAGCAGTTTTGCTGACCTCCGGCCTAGAAGATGGAGCTGAGCAACATCCGTTGCTCTTCTTCCTTCACAATCCCTTTAATAGGTCATTTTTCTGGAGCCAGCTGGTGGCCTCCGTGTCCCCCCCTCTTCTTTCAGTGCACACATTCTGCGTGCTTACTCTGGGCCAGGCTTGTGTTAGATACTTGGTGAGCAGAACAAACAAGACCTGAATGTGGCTTCAAAGGAGCACACGGTCCAATAGGGGACAGAGATGCACAGAACTGTCATCCACGCTTTTATTGTAAAAGAGCTTCTGGGGCTGACATAGTTATCAGTGTGTCATTTAATCACCATTGAGAACTTCCTGATGCCAGGTCAGAGGGAAACAAAGAAGAATAAGACCCAGGCTTTGCTTTCCCACAGCTTGATGGCTGGACATGGGAGACAGCAAGGAGCTAGGTGCAGTATCGTGAATGCTGTACCAGGGGTGGGTATGGGCTGCCAAGATGGAGGAGGGCCAACCAACATCGCAGAGTGCTGAGAAGGGGCACTATGCTGGTGGAGGGGGGACATAGCAGTGCAGAGCCAAGGAGTCAGGCCGGCGTGGGAGCCCCAGGAGAGCCCGGCTATGAAGAGGCCAAAGCCCAGGCTTGCCAAGGATCCCGCCTCTCCCTTAAGGTACTTTCAGATCCTGAAGCATTGGGACAGGTGGCTCTGGGGACAGTAAGGATGTTGGGGAACCTAGGAGAGCAAGGGTCCATGGGACAACTAGCCAGGCCACTGGACGAGAAGGACAGTGCAGTGAGCACAGGGAACAAGGCAAAGACGAGGGTACTCCTGGGGCTACAGGACATGGCTGCTGGCCCATGCAGTCCTAGTTAGCAGGTGGGCTCCCGGGCCCCTCCCAGGGTGCACCCGAATTCTGAGAGCCCCGGACTGGGGATGTTACCAGTGGAGAGGGGTGGCAAAGACAGGCGCTGTGTTTAGTTCACATCCTCCAGAGGCACAGAAGGCACAGTACATGCTTATAGCCTGATTTTTTTCCAGTGCTTTTTAAATGACAGTTTTCAACTATCCTGAAAAGTTGAGAGTTTTACAATAGACACCCATATTCCCACCGCCTGGGTTCTATGATGAACATTTTACTATGTTTGCTTTCTCATGTATCTGTCCATCGTTCCTCCACATACCCATCAATCCATCTTATTCTTTTCATGCATTTCAAAGGAAGTTGACAAGATCAACTGACTTATATTTAGTCAGTAGGTTTGGCTGCAGTTCAAAGTGGCGTACCTCTAAATAGAGGTCATTTCCCATTTCTGAGCCGGTCTCGTCACACAGTTGGGCCATTACACCCATACTTCCTCCCCTACTCTTGTAGTCGAAAGCCACCCATCTGAAAGTGCTTTGTGAAATACCGAGGTGACATTCTGCTAAATCATCACACTAACAAACATTTCACATCAGTAAGGGTCTCCAAGGAGAAGATCTATTTTGTCTGCATTTTGACAGACTTGGTTACCCTCCCGGCCATCTTAACCAGGCTTCCTCATCAGAACCAAGAACATAGAACATGGTTTGAGTGGCAGCGTTTTCACTTCTCCCAAGGATGATACAAAACTAATAGAGACCCCAAAAAAATCTAATAGAGACCTAGGAGTGAAGTTAATTCATTCCATACAGTGGGTGCCTTAGGCAGTGGTTCTCAAGTGTGTTCTGTCTATGCCGCACCCCCCAGCAATCTGTGTTTTAACAAGCCTTCTGATGCTCACATTTGAGAACTACTAGCCTATAAATGGTTAGAGTAGATTTAACTCAGAATATAATTTCTCCAAGTAAAATAGAGACGTTGGGTAATGAAGGGGGAAATGTGCTTGTACTTTTAGTGTGGCGCTCCTGTTGGACCTCTGGAGGTGGCCCATTTGCAAACAGCTGAAGAGCGAGGTGAACCCTGTCAAGTGCAGAAAATGAGTGAAGGCTGTCATCAGGTTGCCACCTGCTGCCTTTCAGGGTGCTGTCTTGGAGGCCTGGCAGGAAAATAGCTGCCAGACCACCTCTGACCTGGGTGACTATGGCATGGTTCCCTGCCTTTCCAGAATCTGAGCCTGCCAGCCTCACACTTCAACCAGCACTTTGTTTTGCTGTTCTCCTGTGTGAAAGTCAAGAAAATTTGAGCATTAATAACAACACGCTTTCTGCTGCGTGTGTAGTTGATTTTGTCCTACCTGGTCATCCAGAGAAAAAGAGACTTTACAAAGAATAGGAGGAGGGAGAAGAGTTTTTAGCATATACGTGTCTTATTTTACAAAGACCCTTAGCCTCTGGTTTTGACCATTGGAGTGGTGGGTATTGTGTGGTTGATAAAAGGCATCTTGGGAACACTGAAGCCAGCTAGGCTGTGAATCTTCCCTACAAGGGTTATGGAAACATCCTCTGAGAAATGTCTGAGCTCCAGAGTTGCCTGCAAGGTGAAGGCAGAGTCCCGCCCCTTCAGAACTGCCCTGTTTTTTATTGCTTTGCGTGCCCAAGTGGATCCAAGTGAAATTACATTTTTGCAGGAGTTTTTTCCCTTTGATTTTTCACTTTTCCATTTTTCATGATGCTGCTGGTGGTGATGTTTTAATGTGGTTCTTTTTTTTTTTACTTTGACATTTTCCTGCTGCTGTTGTTTTAATGTGATTCATTCTTAACTCATAGGTTTGTTTGTTTTTCAATAGGACAAGGGCTCAGAGGACTGGACGTGCTCAGACATCGGTGTTCTTCTTCCCAGTTCTTGACCCTGGTCCTATCTCCAGCCCATCTCGGCTTATCCACTTTGACTCCTTTGAGCCGTTCGGAGGGGCAGTTTCTGGTAGTTGTGGCTTTTATGCTTTCAAAGAATTCCTTCAGTCCAGAGAACTGTTCCTGGCACCCCTGTGTGCGTCACCCACCGGTGACCAGTGGCAGTATGTACTTTCAGTGTACCTACTGCTTACCGTTGCTTTAGTCACTAATCGCTTTCTGGTTTGAAAGATGCAGTGGTTCTTCATTCTCCTGAATCCTTTATTCCATGACGCCCTGCTGACCCATGCAGTCACACCAGAGATAGTTCTTTCCAAATTGGCTCTCGTCACTGGCATCTCACTTTATGATAAGGGAAGGCTACTACCTAGGGCACTTTAAGTCAGTGACAGCCCCTTATTTGCACTTCACCTTTTCACCGTAACTGTTTCCCCTGAGCAGGAACTCATGGAAACACCTGCGATGACGTTGCAGCCTGCAGTAAGTGCTCCCATCCTGGGAACCTTTGGGGGCACGTGTCAGCATCTTTTCTCATATCATGTTAATCACTAACATATTTAAGGTATGTGCTATTTGCCAGCTTTTAGAAAACTCAATCATTTCCCTAAATAAAAAAAAGATGTACTGCACAGCAATTTACTCTGTAGATCTACTATGGTTACTTGTACCATTTATAGAGGTATAACACTTGCCCAAATGTGTTATATGCAGTACTGAGTGTTTGCAAGACTTATGCAAAAAGCTTTAAAGTGGCAGCTTCACTCGGGATTTAGTGAGAGATGTACAAAGGCGTGCTCAGGAAAAGTGTCTGGAGAAGTAGCCAGCAGGCTGCCCATTGTCCCAGGGCGGAGCTCCACCTGCCAGGATATATAGACCCCACGCTGCTTCCCATGGTGTGCCACAATCAGTGTAACCACATTCAATGCCAGAGGATTTAGCAGAGAGGATAAACACTGCGTCTTTAAATGAGAAAGTGTACAATTCTTTTTCTTCCTACAGCATGTCAGCATCTCAAGCTCATTTTTCAACCTACAATATAACAGTTTGTAATAAAGCCTTCATGAGCTCATGACACGAAGCACTGTTCTGTCATCAAGTACTATCAACTGTTTCTGATTACTGCTGAGCTAAAACCATCAGAAAAAGCTAGCACTAAGTCATGTGTGGAGCTCTCTCCCATCTTTTCCTGCTCTCTCTAAGTATTCGTTCCTGCCACTGTACGTGGTGGCGTTGATTTGGTGTTCTGTCCCAGTGCGGTGCCTCCTCTTGACTACCCCACTGCTCTCTGTGGTGAGAAATTTGCCTTGTTCAATAATTACTGTACCCTCGCATGACTGTTACAGCTTTCTGTGCAGAGATGACTGTCCAAGTGCCACATGCCTATGATTGAAATGAAAAATCTATTGTTACCTCTGAGTTGTGTTCCACGGAAAATGCTATCCAGCAGATTACTTAGGAAAAATAATTATATTTTTAGCTTTTCATTTCTCAGCCGTCCTTTTTTTTCTTGTTTGATTTTTGACAGCAATGGAGAATGGGTTCTTAAAGACTGCCTGCTAATATGAACAGAAATGCACTTGTAATTCATGGAAATAAATGTACATCTTCTATCTTCATATTCATATTAAGATTCAGTGTCGATTTCCTCTGGATTGGCGTGTCCAAATGGACAGTCAGGTTCAGTTTGTGCTTAGAACAGAAATGTGTACCGGCCTTGGTTTCCCACCTGGCCACTGCCCCAACACTTTGGTTTACATTAAATGATTTAGAAAGCATTTCTGTAGGGTCTTTTTGTTCCCCTCTGCACAGCAGAGAAATCTTTTCTGACATGTTCCTTTATTCAAATCATAGGTCTAAAATATTGTCAGACTCTGATGAAGAAGCCCAAACGTCTCAGGTTGGATTCTCTGATTCTTTCTAAAGAGGGCCTGCCTGTGTGTCCCAGAGCTGCTGCTCGGCACGGCGAAGCCCTGGGAAGGGCTGCCCACACCAC